GGCAGGCGGGAAGGGTCTTTCTCTATCGCCGCGTTTGGAGAGGAGACGGCTGGTGAGCTGGGCGTGACTGGGGTATGGCTGAGCTGTGCACGCCCTTGTACTGCCTGCTGACGCTCCCCACCTTTCTCGCTTTCTAGGTTTTTCAGCGATGAGACTTAGCAGTAACCCCTTACAATGGGTGATGTTCTAGCTTACGAAGCTGAGCTGCTGGGACTAGTGAAAGAGGTTTGTTTTCTCTTTTTTTTTTTTTTTTCCTCCTTATGAAATAAGCAAAGAGAAATTTCATAGTGCTTATATTCAGGAATGAGACATTGCAGCTGTGATCTGAATTCTGTTGTTACCTAACTGACGAAATATTTGCTTCTCCTTGGCATCCTATTGACTTCTGTCATGCTCTGTGAATTCAAAGGGCTCAATGTCCATTGAAGGTCAACAGTCAACCATCTAGAATTATCTGTTGTTCCTTGTAAATGAGGCCTTTGTTGCTTGGAACGGGTAACTTGATTAGATCCACAGAGAGCTGCAGGGCTCAAGTCTGACCTGTGATACCGGTGAGATCCTCTAAACATGACTTAGCTACGTAGTTCCATGGCTGTATAAAATCACAGAGACCCCTAGAATTTTTCCTAATAAAGCCCAGACTGAAGTCGTGCATGGTTTAATGCCTAAGCAAGATCATCCAGTTAGGCACCACTCCTCTACCCGTGCTGCCTGTAAGAGGTGATCAGAAGATATTCTAAAGTCTGAAATGATCCAGCAAAAAATACAGTGGGAGACAAACTTTTAAAGAGTGGGTATCTCTGTGGTAGTCTGTCCTCCTGCCTTTCAGATAAATTAGCTAAAATGGGAGATTTGTTTACTCAGTGTGATTTGGATCAAGACATAAGCTGTGATCTGTCTGCTACATGTTACTGCCTTGTTCCTTTGATCAGCACTGTTTAGGGCCTTAGTGAAGAGGAAATCAGCAACTTTCTCCCCTGCCAAAATCCTTGTATGACCCAGTGCTGTGGAGGGGGAGTCACTAATGGAAGTTAACCGTTAAGCCATTATTGTACCTAGCTTTCCACAGACTGTCTGTTGAAAGGCTGGACAGCTACTCTCTGTCTAAAGAGTCCACTAAATGGCAAAACATTGCAAAACCTAGAACTTTTGATGTGTCTAAGAAAACAAATCTAAAAAGAGTTCGAAGTACTTAATGATGAATATGTTAACAGTGAAGGAAGTAAGCAGTTCCTGTACACGTTTTTGTGGCAACATTGGACATACAGATCAAGTGTGCAAGACCAAATGTTGTGTCTTGCCTCAGCAACCAATAACTAAGACTTCTGAGATGGGGAAAAAATTGCGTATAATGTATCGTATAATGTAAATGACGGAGAGAGAGAGAGGACTGTTTCTCTCTTTCTCAGAAGAACAACGCTTGTTTTGCTACTTATTATTTTGGCTTGCTTGTATAGCTTCAGATATTATGAATGATCTGGCTTAGGTTGAAACTATCTGACTGTTTTGGAGATGACGGTTATGCGTTCTTTTAAGAATTCTGCCCTCTGGTTATGCGTTCCTTAAGAATTCTGCCCTCTGAGACCATTATTTACAAGGGAGTTACTTGCTTGTTTCTTCAACCAAGATATTGCGTTAGTAGATTCTAGTTCCTTTTCTTCTTTGGTTGAGTGAAGTTATTGGCTAAATTAAGGGACATCATTCTTTCGGAGAGGGTGTGCTTGATTGTCAGTATTATCCTCTAGGACATATGAAGGAACTCAGTTGAGAGGCAAGATTTTCTTACTGCAGGAGATTCCTGTGCAGACTTTGGCATTTACAGACCATGCAACAGAGAAACTTTAAAGGACTCTGTAATTCACGGGTCGCTCTTTGAAACATTAATAATCTAAAAATTATTGTCCATATGTGTTTTTTTTCTTATAGTATTTGGATTTTGCTGATTTTGAAGAAACAGTGAAGATATTGGTGAAGGAATGTAAAATAAAAGGGAAGCCACTACCTAAATCGGCAGGTGTTTCCCTGAGAGATTCAAAAGCTTTGACTATTCAGGTAATGCATCATTTTCATTTATTTTGAGTAACTAATACTCAAAACAGTTAAAGGCCACTAACCATCTTTTATTTTATTACAGCAGCTGAGATTATCCAAAGTCTCTGAAATGATTCTTGATTATTTGGAGAAGGCTGCTAGCAGTCTTCTCTCAGCGCAGGAAAATTCAAATTTGCTTTTATGCAGAGCCCTACTTCTTTTGAACCTGAGGGAGTAGTTTTGGTTCACGCTTAGGTTTTTAGCTGGCCTTACTTGGAAAAGGCTGATTTTTTCACACGCTGTAGGCACTTGTTTTTCGTTATGGTATCATGGGCCCCCAAACTCATTAGACAGGCTTGAAAATTTAGGCTTTGCTTCTTGCATTGATGGCTGATTCAGGCTCTGAAACAGAGTAAAAATAGGTGGAGAAAGAATATTTAGGTGGTCGTTGAATGGTAAGAGGTTTTGCGTAAAACTTTAATTGAAAGTCTTCAGATTGCGCTTGAATTCTTCACTTGCTAACCCACTGTTGAAAAGTGTAGTTCTTCTGTGTTTGGTTTTTCACTGAATGCTTTTCCCTTCTGCAGAAAGATCTACTTACAGCATTTGAAAATGGAGAGCAGAAAGTTTTCTTCCGACTTTGGAAGGAGCATATATCGTCTTCAGTTCGAGACAGTGAGCCGGTTGCTCAGAAGCTGGAGTTCTATCTTCACATACATTTTGCCACCTACCTCTTGAAACACTCTGTGGGAAAGCCTGTAAGTTTAGTTTACAGTTTGAACTTAAGACTGCTTTTGTTTCTTTTACTTCATGTATTTGTCTTTGGTGTGGATGAGGTCGGTGTTCTTAGTTAGAATTCCCAGAATTCAGATCCAGTCTTTGGGCAGCAGTCTGCATTTGGGTTGAAAGCAGGCCCTTGTATTGCAAAGTACAGAAATGAAATTTGGAGGTGTCCTTCTCTTGGACGTCCTGAAACACTTTCATTTGGAAAATATCGACTTGCTGATATTTTCACCCCTCTAGTTGTATTCTGTAGGAAATTCTTAAAACACTCGGGTTTGGGGGTTTTGTTTGTTTGTTTTTAGTTTGGGCCAAAGCCATTTGCTGAGAAATAAACATTCCTGATAAAAGGGAGAAGTTGAATCTTGACCAGTTCACTGTACCGTGTTTGAAGGTACCATTCCAAACGGTCATAAAACAAAATCTCCGTTACCTAGGGCTGGGATATCTTAGGTGATACGTTTATTATGAAGAACAGGCATTTAAGCAGCCTGGAGCCAACTGGATCTGCCAGGCTCCTGCCTTACTCCTGTCAGCTGTTTGCAGAACTGCTTGGATGCCTTCAGTGTGTGTTTTCCAGCCTCTGACTAAGGTGCTCTTCATCTGTTCTGTGGGCCAGCTCACCTGGAGCGCTGGTAAACTAGCAGAGATACTTGGGAAAGCTCAGTGTTGAGCCAGGCAGGATCCAACAGGGCTTCCGCTCGTTATAAGCTCATTTAAGGCAGGCTTCTCAAAGGCAATGTTGGACTCGAGCTATCACAGTACCAACCTGGCTATGTTCCCACACAGTTCTGAGTGTTGTGCATACATCTGACCTGGGTCTGAGTGGGGTAGGAGTATGTTTACCAGGGCTGCTGACTTGGACTTGGCATCATGTGAATGCATGATACAGCCTCTGGATCCAAACTCAGTCAGCTTCTCTATAGTTAGTCCACAGACAGCAGAGAGTTGACTGCAGGGAGTAGTAGTAATAATAAGAAAAATGTATCAGAAGGATTTTATTAGTAGAGTTTATCAGTGGCTCGTGTGAAAACAGCTTTCTGTAAAGCATATGACTTTAACAGGATCTCTTCTGGGTTTAGTACAAACCTTACTGTGAAATGGATCTTCAAATAAAACGTCATCCAATAAAATATACTCAGTCCAGTTTTTGATGCTGCATATGGTTGTTGATCCAGTGATTTTCCCCTCCTCCCCCCGATGTTGGATCTTACAGTGGATTTTACAGTTCTGTGCTTTTCACTGAAATGAAGTGCATCTAGAGTCAGGTAGATACTTCCTCTCTGCTTTGAGTGTGGGAATAACACTCTGCTTTAGAAATTTACCCTGAAGTGGGCAGGAATAATTTACGCTCCAGAGCAATCAGCCCTCTCTTCCTTTACTGGAGCTGGACAACAGAAACAACAGGCGGTTTCCATTTGAGTGGTGAAATTAGGATGTAATGCGCTCTCGTTAAATGAGTGTTGCTTCTTAGGTTGGCTGTATTACTTAGATAACGATTATTCTTGGATTTCAGACTTGAAAATGATGTTGGATTTAGGTCTCTACTTTAATTGGTCAGCCTTACTGTGCGTTCAGAGTAGTTTTCTTCACAATAAATGTGCTGCTTTATTTCCCAGGACAAAGCTGAACTTGAGGAAAGGATTTCTCTCTTTAAAACATACCTAGAAACAAAAGGAGCTGCACTTAGCCAGACAACAGAGTTTCTTCCCTTCTATGCTTTGCCTTTTGTTCCTAATCCCATGGTACATCCTTCATTTAAAGAACTTTTCCAGGTAAGCATGTATTTTGCAGAGGCGTTTTTTATTGATTTTTCTCGTTGGGTGATAGATATTAAATGATATTTAGTTTGGTAATGGCTTTTGTTGTTTCTTTAACAGAAACTGTACAGTCATAAAATAACGTATTTTCTATAGGGGAAGGATTGTGAGAGTGTTATCGATAACAGAGTACTATCTTACATATTTTTTATATTGTGCCGTAAATGCTATGCTGCCTTTGTTTCATAGATAAGAATTGCTGCCTATCCTTTCTTTCCAGGCAGCCCTGAAATATGCATGCTTCTGGGAATCACTACGCCGTAGTTTAAGTCTACTTGCTTACATTTCTACTTCTTTAAGGTTATTGCCCAAGATACCCCATCAGGTGTTTATGTATAGCTGAATTTTGAGTATAACTAGGTGGAGGAGAATGAAGCAGTTGCATCTCTTGTGGAACAGAGAAACTCAAATTTATAAGTAATCCTCGTGTAATAGAAAAGGAAAATGTAATTCTCTCAGTTTAGATAACAGAGACTGTTTAGATTCAGAGACTGAGGGAATGATTGTAGAGACGGTGTCCGGAGCTATGATTTGAAGTTCCAAAGTATCAGTGGTGATTCTTGGGAGGAGGGTACTGCCACCATCTGTCCTGCTGAGAGCTTATTCCTGCAGTTTAAAACTACACCTTAACTTCTTGGCTATGCTGGAAACAGCTGTTTGTGCAGCTGCACTGGGATTGGATCAAGGAACTGATCTGCTTTACTGCATACGATTGTGCGTGTATACTGCTCCCATGTACACACACATGCGCACTCACACAAATTTGTTTGTAAAAATATGTAAATATGCATAATGTTTTGCAGGGTTATATACTTAATAAGCTTCACTGTCCTACCACATGAGCAGTTGTGCTGGCTCATCCAAGCAGCTGTGGGCAGTCATTGTGGAGGGAGAGAGATCTCTTTAGCCTGTATTGCTGCCAAGTGCTTTTTGATATCAAATCAAAGCTTAAGTGATACTTACCCTAGGGTTGACTTTAGACATACTAGCTGATGAGGAGCTCCAGTTAACACCAAAAAAGGCATATACTGCCATTTTCCTTTGGGATTAGCTATAAATAATGAGGCATACTGGTTGATCTCGGAGACGGGACATAAATACTCTTTTTATAATTATACTTAGCAGCTTTTCCTTCTAAATGTCTTGTCTGAGACAAGACCCGCAGGTTTATTCATAGTAACTCAGTGTCCAAGTTCTCAATCCAGTCACACATGTTTTCTTGTGGGAACTGTACAACTCAAATTCCTGTTAGTGTTGAAGCACAGATTGTTTTACGTTTGGGAAAGAACAGCAGTAAGTCACTAATCTACTAAGCAGTGTTCTTGCAGTGTTTTTTTTCCTTGGGCATCTGCTGCTTTATACAGCTGGAGGTTTTGAGTTTTTGTTTAATATACCTTGAAAAAAAAAGATAGACTCATTTCTGTAAGAGTCATGGTTCCTTTGGTAATATGCAGCGTACTGTGATGCACCACTGTTTTGACACTGAGTTGATGAATGTGGCGATTACAGTTCTGTATGCTCTCCAACGTGGTAAAACACAAAGGCAAATTTGAGCTGCAAGAGCAGCTTGCAATGTACATACGTAAACACATACATGTATATGTGTGTGTGTATGTGTATATTCATGTATATATACATATGCACAGAGCAGTAAATTCAGGAAGCTCCTGCTGCCTGTTGAAAAGCACTGCTTTTTCACCTGATGGCTAACTTATCGTCAAGCAGAAACCAGTTTAAATGAAGGTTTGAAATAGAAGAAATGAGTAATCAAAATGATTCTTAGACGTAATATATATTTCTTCCATAACGATTGTTTTCTCATGCTTATGAGACAATTTATGTCAGACAGAGGGAAGGCAGCAGTTCAGTTACTGGCGGATACGTTAGTGCATTTTTCATATATGAGTTGTTTTCTGCTCCAAATCCATTTTAGAAATGTTGTACCCTGATCACTGATGTCGTGTCATGACCTTTGCAGTAGTTTTTGACGAAATCTAGAAGTCCCAATTGTCATCAGGAGTGAAAGATGAGTACAGTGATTTCTTTTTGAAAAGAATGGAAAAGGATTTGTTTTGTGCTCTGTTAAAGAAAGTACGTTTATATTCCTCTTTTTATCTTTTATCCATGTTGCTTATACTTTAAAAGTGCATTTAATTTAGAAGCAATTGTGGCCTGTGCGTACAAGGCACCAACACTAGTCTGACAGAAGTACTTAGAATGACAGTTTTATATTGAAATAAAGCTACACCATGTTTTTAGAACTCTTGTCTAGGAGTAATACTAAATTCACTTCTAATTTCTGTGCATGTCTGAGTAGTTAGTAAACATGTTTGCTTCAGTAACAGTGAAGGAAAATCTTTTCTCTACAGCGCTGGCTGCTTTGTTTACTAGAGGGGAAGGTTACTGTGATCCAAACAGTACTGTCAGCATAAGTGTACATATTTGGTGAACAGCTGTCATCTTTTGTTTTTCTTTTCAAGGATTCTTGGACATCGGATTTAAGGACAAGATTGGAAAAGTTCCTGTCTCTGACTCTCAAAGCCAGCCAGACACCCAGGCTTCTCACTTTATTTGTATCCTTTTGAAAAAACACTTTAAAGATCATTAGAATTATTGTAAAGAGGAAGTATAACATATTGGAAGTGTGTGCTGCTAAGATTTATTGCATAATTGCAGTAACACTACTGCTTGGTGTTTTTTAGAGCAGGAAACATTTACAGTCCACGTTCAGAAAAGCTATTTGAAAATTGTGTCAATTATAAAGACAATATATGGATGCATAGGAACCTGTGTATTTATTGTATAACCATTCTTTACTTCCAAGTACAAAATACAGGATGCCTGAAGGCACGATCCTGACCTGACCTGACCTGACTTCTTTCTTAGCCTTTGTAAAGCTGTTAGTCTTTTCAATCAGCCATTTCAGGGGCTAGCTGGATTTTTTTGAGCACTTTCAGTAGTTCCAGAAATTATTATTTTACTAAGAGTTGTGCTTCAGACTTTATTTTCTTCTAATACTGTTGTTTATGCTATGTTGTCAGGCCTAATTGCAGAGTAACTAGCTGTATGACAAGATTGCCTTCTCCATTTTTGGTCGGTACAGTTAAGAACAAGGCAGGGAGGACTAAACTGGAGCCTTTCTCTCTGGCTCTTTTTTCTCCCCGCTTTCTCGCCGCTTTCTGGTGTTGAGCTGGAAATGTTATTTTTCTTCCTGCTCGTTTGCCAGGGTGGGGATCAATGATCACAAGAGACTGCTTTCACTCCTGTGTTATGTCTCTTGGTGTGGGAATCTGGCATAGAGAGATTGAAGAAAGTTTTCCCTTTCCTTATTCCTCTTTATGGAGTCACGGACTGCATCCTGACTGAGCCCTCAAAATTTCTTTAGTATAAAAAGTTCTAAACCATTTGCCTGTTCTTATGTTGATTTTATGTAAAGTCAACAGTTTGACTTTTGATTTTGGTGTTAATAGTTTAGTTTGGAGTTACCGTCTTTTATGCCTCAGGACAAGGACTGAATCTAGTGTCTTCAGAGCTCAGAAGAGAGTCTCGTGTCTTTGTACAACATTCTTGGCTAGATGCCATATGAGATTTTTTTGTGTTTATTTTTGCATTTCTATGAAGCATCAGGCAGTGACTGTTGTCTGGGACAATAGGGATATTTTGCTTGCTTGGGTTTGCCAGTTGGTTGAGTTTCTTGGTCTGTGTATATGGCATAAACGCTTACTGAAAGGCCACTTTTTCCTGAACTGCTCCTACTCTTGAACGACAGAAGGAGAATGGGCAGTGCAACAAAGGTGAGTGTTGAGGTGTGGTAAGGTTGTTCCCTAGGATCAGTATGTTTTTAGGGGCTGTAGTTGAGAGGAAGGTGGGCCTGGGATGACAGGAAAGCTAGAGATGCACAGCAAAAAGTCTTTTGAAGTCGAATTCCCTGTCCTGGTGATAGTTACTGCTGAGCTGCTTGAGGTCAATAGGGCTGAGCACAGGCATATAACTAGAAATGGCAGGGGGCCTAGTAGCAAGGTTTGTATTTTAAGCCTGTTATGTCCTGCAATAAAAGTGTGGTAAAAACGAGTGGAGAACTCTGTACCAAGTGCATAGCAGCTCTCGATTTTTAGTTAGGATTAAAACAAGTTCCTCAGATTCCTTTCCAGTATGTGCTTACACCTGTCTACCTCTTCCTGATTTGACATCTCGGTCAATTATTCTGAAGATTATTGGATCTTTTTAGAGCAAATTGATTTTAAGATATTTTTTCCCCTCTTCATTCATCCTATTTAAAATCTTTAAATTGTATTGTTGTGTTGTTGGTATTAGTTGAATTAGAATGTGTTAATATAAGGGTGATTTTCTCATGTGCTGTATTTTTACGTAAGCTGTTCACAACCACTGAAGTGTCTAAATGACTTAGGTTCATTTAAAAAAAAGATAATTCGAGCGCTAAATCTCAGATGCTACTAGATGCTGATGGCACTCAAAGTATATGCCTTTTAAAAATCAGTTCAATAAATAAAGCTTAGGTTCCTACCTCCCTTAAGTTCATTTTTCATTTGTCTTTCCATGTTTAGTTTGTTGGTAGGGACTTACATGAGCCCAGCTTGGGATCCTAAAATGACTTTTCCTATTGAGTTTGGTTTAATCTGTAGTTTTACCTTGAGGATTTATTATTTGTGGATTGAATTAAAAAGAAAAAGAGGTTCATCTCTCAGTGTGAGTTCCAGGTATTTGCTCTGTTATTTTGTGCTCTGTGTTGCATTAGACTTTCACTGAATAATACAGGGTTATCTTTGTAGATCTTTATTTTCCAGAAGTTGTTCTTTTTTCCTTGTAATGGACTTTTCTGATGGGAAGAATTCCATACTGTGATTAAGAAGAAATAACTACATGATGGAGCCTGAATTATTTCGGGCCTAATTATTTTTTATTTGAGCAGGTTCTGTGCTCTGTACAAGTAGAGACTGTCTTGGTGTTGAATCTGCGTGGATAAGCCTTAATTTGTAGATCTGTTATGTGTCTTGGAGTTTAAATCAGTTTGGATTTTTCTTAAAGGTTATTTGAGGCCTGTCTCACATGAAAGAGTATTGGATCTGAGAGCTTAGCTTTGCAGCGTGCTTCTCAGCTCACGTGAGATCCATGGTACCTACTAACTGTTGGAGAATGTTTGCTTTATCATCGAAGGAGAAATGCAAACAAAATTAGTAGGTTACACATGAACGAAGAGCAGTATGGCGGAGAGTCCAGAGAACAGCCTTTTGTAAATAGTTGCTAGTCACTAGTCTGACATACTGAAGCACTTTAAGTCTGGGTGGGATGGTACATATGCTCTTGAGGATGTCCTGGTGGGTTCAGTGTGTTTACCTTTCCTGATTAACCTGCTACAATCTCTGGCTCTTCATCAGTTTCCTGAAAAACTTTTATATCTGTATGACTTTCAAAGCCATCTGTGTGGCAGTTGTGCTTACCCTACAGCTCTCCCATATGTGTTCAGTTTGGCTGGATAGAGAAGAAGAGTTGCAAAATGGTTGGCGTGCTGCATGAGGAGCTTCAGTCTTCCTGTGCAAACAGGAATGGAGAGAATGAAGTATTTGGAAGGTGCTCGGCTCCTGTTCCCTCCATTGCCTCATTACAAATCTGTGGATGAGTTCATAGCCACTCTTCCACTTTTGGGGGGAAGGGGAGGGCGGGAGGAAGTGTGTCAGGCTGTTGCATATGAGAAGGTGAAGTGTGACCCACCTACCTGTCAAGATTTGCTGTAGTTTGAATGGATATTAACATGGGAAGATGTCCGTTTAGAATATGGACAGTAATTTATATGGAAATGAGGTGAGCAGGCAGGAGGTGGAGGAGCTGCCCTCTCTCCCAGGAGAGAGGTATTGGGTAGCAGCTAAGCAGCCCTAGTGTTTGGCAGCAGCTCTTGGGACCTGCAGCTCCTCTGTTGAGAGTCCCACTGCATCACACACAGGAACTCAGCTGGGCCAGGATCTGTGCTTCTAGCAAAGGATGTGAGGGTAGACTGAGATTAGAGAAACACAGAGAGTGCGGGCTCGGAAGTATGCTTGAATGTATGTGAGATGCTGTAAAGACCAATCTCTCACTCGAAAAGCTTGTTGTGGAATTGTGTGTATATGCGTAACTGCTTGGCAGCACAAAGGAGCTAGAGTCAAGACATTAAAAAGGCTTGACAAATAAATACAGATCGTTACGTACATAAGAGAGTAAGAGCAAATCAAGTAAAAAGGTAAAAGCACACAGAAGTTTAGAAGATGCCTCATGCCAGCCTCTTCATTTGGGAGAGTCGCCAGCTTTACTGTGTACTTTATCCTCCTAAACCAGAAGGTTAGTCCTCTGCGCTTTATGGTCTTTTCTTTCCCTCTACATACGAATAATGATTCTGGTAGGTCTTAGGCCTGGTGCTTTTTTTTTTTTTTTTTTTTTT